ATTATTTTGGGGAAAATTCATTAGGTAAAGAAGTCTCGTTTTGGACACTTTGGTGTTCTTTACTCTGGTGCAAATGTCAGCTTTGCAGGAACAGCATCTCATATCCTTGTGTGTGTTGCAGGGAAGAGGTTACTGTATGGTGGGCTGCACGGTGGTGCCGCACAGCAAAAATGTTCTCAGTTCAAATCATGATCTAAGAGTATAGTTGAAGAGGCTTGTTGGGAGGAATTTTATTCTGAAATCACAGTACAGGATGCAACTTGCTGTGCCTCCCCTCAAATTATGACCGTATGTGCTGGAAGTGCACTGCCCACAGATGAGGCCAGACGGAGAGATAGTGGACACTGCGTCTTGTGACGGGATGTAAGAGAGCACAGAGGAACAGTGTCTGGTGATCAAACATATGACACAAACTCAGATAGAGTGTGTGCAGCACTGTGCAGTGTGTGAATCATTAAAATAACTTACCATAAATGTTAAACTCATCGAGAGCCCTCGTTCACACACTTGCACGAATCACTTAACATTGCTCACATGGACACCTTGATGTGCTGCTAACACTACACAGGCACTATGAATGAAATATATGTCAAAGCCATTTCTGGGGGACCTCTCAGCTCAGTGTTTGTAGGTCATAGGCTGAGCTTTGCACGGCAACAAATGTGCACATTATCGTCATGCATGTACATTAGGGACCGTGTTCTCATGCCTGCATGTACGGGATGCATGCAACATATGTTGAAAAATGGGGCTATAATTTGTTCTGCACCAGTGAGCCAATCTGAGAACAACGGAGGAGCCAACAGATGCCATGATACTGTCGGATTAAGAAATGGTATATGAACAGCTAATGCTCCCACAAGCACATGAAACTGAAACAGTACATTGACGTGATAATGAGCTGTATCAGGTCCAAAAGCTGTTACTTCAGTGAGGGACTGTGGAACAATGCTGGAACGTGGAGATTTTAACTTCAGGGTTCCCAAGGGGTCTGAAAAATGTAATAATCTGATTTCTAGGCCTTAAAAAAGTATAAATTCACGAAAATATTATAGGTCTTAAAGATATTTTAGTATGGGTCTTAATCAGGTAAATGTTTGCAGCATGCAAAGTTTGTTAGGTTGTAGTTTTTGCTCAATGATATAGATATTAAATCCTTGTAATAAAACTGGAAACATAACTCACGTGGAGCTGATAACTACAAAAAGCTTCAGAATTTTGGAAATTACACTCGGCTTGGCTGTGGGAAAGATTTCTGTCTCCTGCCTGAGAGATAACATTTTGTTTCCAGGGTGTATCATCTCATTCTTTTCAAATATGGGGGAGCGTAAGTAATTCTGGGACTGTGATATTACTTCACATCTGTCATACTTGATGTTGGTCTTATATTTAATTTATTATGATCTTCAAAAGTCTTATATTAAACTTGCAGAAAACCATGAACTTGCACGTGCTGTAGGATATGTAGTCATTTGCTACATCTCTGAATGAAACATATAAACGGAGCCACTGTGTGTTATTACTGGGACTCATCTGTAGCATGGAATTCATTAGTACAAGTTTACTGCGCTCACTAATCAGAGTTGGCGCTCCTCTGCTCAGCGTACATGCCACAGCACAGACAGGGCCTGGCCTCAAAATGGATGAAAATCAGCAACAGGCTTGGAAATGCTAAGTGTTTTTATTACTCATGTGTCTATTTTTAGCCTCATTGTATAGCTGGAATGAGCAGTGGAAAGAACACAGGGGCAGAAACTGGCTGCGAAGCGGATCACTGAACGGCTGGAGGGATGCCATGAATTTAAACACTTGGCTTTCTTGGGTTTCTCTACTTTTTACGATGCTTCCGTCAAGGGATTAACTGGCTGAGTAAATGGCTGTTTTGAGTGTTCAGGGTATTAAAACGCTGGAATGAACTTAATTCACCTTCTAAAATGTCCCTGCACCTTCACAGCCTGAATGGAGGCGTCTGTCCTGAATGAGCCCCTCCCCAACCAAACGCGTGTCGTGTTCGCAGGTACAGACGCCAGAAAATGTGCAGAGGTGTTTTTGTTTGGTGTCCTGTGAGGTTTCCTTTACCACATTTCCTGTGTAAGTGTGGTGATAACCCCTCTGCGTGTCGATCAGCACTCTTCTCTCCGCTTGGCCGTGGGAAAAGTTGAGTGGGAAAGGCCTTTCCTTTAATTCTTCTATTCTTTTTAGCCTGAACGTGAGTGTATCCGCTAAAATAACAATTAGTATCTGACTGCAGCACTGATGTTTTGACTGCATGGGCTGTATGATGAATTCACACAAGTTGGCTGTCTGATTGGTTTTCTTTTGCAATGAAATATCTCCCTTAAGCCTCTTTCAGACATGCACTGAACTCTGGATAATCTTTAGACATTCTCTGGAGGGGCTGTATGTGAGAAAAGTCCACGTCAGAGGCTCCAGACTTACTGCAGAGATTCTCCTGCAAGCGCCCTAGTAAGAACTCCAGAAAATGTCTGAATGGGCCCACAGCAGGAGATTCTCTGCAGGATTTACTGCATGGTGCATGGTGATGACAATTCTCAGGATCTTGAATCTCCTGCTCCATTGTTTATGTGGGAAATGCATATTATGGAGAAAGTCCAGACCCAATTCTGCAGACAGTCTCCAGAGTTCATGTATGAAAACGACATTAGAGAGATATTTTGTGATTTTTTTCCCTCTACATTAAAAAAAATCCTCTAAGTTATTTAACGTCTGCTGGTGTCACCACAGCAGACATGAAACCCAGCCTCTGGTGGCTTTCGAAAAAGCCTGAATCAACACACCGTACTGTGGACGCTGTTTTTTTGGCAGTTAGGATTGTAGTTCTGAGGAGGATTAGTTACTAAGAGGGGGAAGTTGGTGTGATTAAGGTACAGTCTTTGTTGTGGCTGTAGTGGAGTGTGTGGGAGGACATCAGATAGTCACTTTGGGGCGAGCGGGAGCTTCTCTCCAGCTATGTACTTCAACATGGGGCGGCTGGCTGGCTGAAAGAAAGTGGCTGGTGCTGAATGGCTTGACAGCTATGAAGCAGAGCTCAGACAGCTGTTTCTCTCTGCATCTGCATGCTTCAACTGTCTAATGTCACCCTGGAGATGTGCTTCACGTGTAGAGTTCAACATATTAGAGCTGAAATGATTAGTCTATTAGTTGATCAGCAGAGAATTCATCAGCAGCTACTCTGGTGATTGATTAAGTGTGTGAGTAATTGACAAGAAAAAAAAGACTAAAAGTCACTTTGTAAATATATTTTATATTTGAGTTCTGAACTGTTATTTTGGGTGGGTTTGAATCCTGTGTTGCTTGTTCTCCCTGTATCTGCATGGGTTTTGTCTGGGGACTCTGGCTTCCACCCACAGTCCAAAGACATGCAGATCGGGGTTAGGTTGATTGGTGACTCTAAATCGACTGTAAGTGTGAATTCGAGTGTGAATGGTTATTGGCCCTGCGATACGCTGGAGACCTGTCAAGGGTGCCGCCTCTTGCCCAATGTCAGCTGGGATTGACTCCAGCTAACTTCTGTTAGCTACCATTGTGTGTGTGGTAACATCTTTCATTGATTATTGCTGTTGCAGTATCCAACAACAACAAAAACCAGTTGTGTCATGCTGTGTTGTGTTTTATTATTTTCCAGACTCTTTGAATATGGCATCAGCTGCTCGCAGTAGTTAGTGTTCAGCTGCATTGCCATGACTATTGTTTTAAAAATAAAAAATGACCAATACCAATAGAGCTAATGTATATGTGTATCTAAATCTTTTTAAAAACCTTCACTTGCATGTGAACATGTGCTATATACATGTTTTATTCAGATAACAGGAGAAAGAATACCCCCCCGGTATAAAAACAGCTGGTTGGATTTAACTCTTCCAAATGCCCCACAGCATCTCAGTAGCCTGAAAGCAACGCGAGCAACGGTTTAGGCAAAATTGTCTCTCATGTGTGTCGACACACATGCCAAAAAATGTGCTAAAATGTACTCTTTACAATCTCGCTGGTTGACCCGGCAGACTGGCTGTGTTGTTTATAGGCTTAAGGGAAGATTTTGCAAGAACAGAAATTAATTTTGACTGCCAAGATTATGGGTTTTGTGGTGCAACAGTAGAAGATTATACATACAGAACATTATACCACATTCAGCAGGACAAATACACAAACACAGACACTGCTGGCAAATGATGTACAGTGTCTGAGCTGGTAACAAACTGCGCTATTTAAGTGTTGGGACTACATATGGACCTGATTAAGAGAGAGACTGGGGAGGCTTCCCGACGTGTTCCCATCTCCATGGCAGTGTGTGCCTGTGAGTAAGCGGAAAACGAGAAATTGTAGCTCGCTGTGAGAAAGACAACATCTCCTCTGTTGTGAATAGAGGTACGCTTTGCCCGGAGTTATTGCTTGGAGCTGTCAAGAGGGGAAGGCCTTTAAGCGCGAGACAGAGAGCAGATGGGAGACAAAAGGCTCAGCAAATTAAATGAGCGGGAGACAGGGAGGAACACAGACTGACATTTAGGCCAGTGGAGATGTACTGCGTTCGAGTAATCCACACCTAATTTCAGTTGGAGGGAGAGCTCAGAGAAAACAGGGTCCAGCTGACCATACAGACAGAATTGGGGAGGGGGGGTTGGTTTAGAGAAGCTTCAGAGTAGACATGTGTTTCTTGGCTTCCTGGAACTGAAGAATCACACCAACGCCCAGCTCATTCTCACCTTAATAAAATGTCCTGGCACTCTGTCATTTCATTTCCTGCATTTTTTCTCGGATGAAGAGTATATTTTCTCTTCTTGTGTGAGGCCAGAACTGCTTTTAATGGAAAGGGTTTGATCCAGTAGGACAAGGGACAGGGTTGAGATTGAACATGATCCCTCTTTAAGGAACTGTCGCGGACATGGAGCCAATACGAAGAGAGAACTATCACACGAACGTTGTGGGTGGTTTCTGTAGATTCTCTGATCAAAGGTTGCTTTGCTCTGATTGTGAATGGGATCATGGTGCTCCGCCAAAGTCAGTGTTTTTGCAGGCAGGCGCACAACCATTACAGGAACATCCTGGACAAGCAGGCCGGAGGCCGCCACACAGCTGCTCACTGAAAATGTTGAAGCTTGTGCCAGTCTTCCAGATTTTCCATTTTCCCGCTGGTATCTGCGCATTGTCAGCATGTACACAGATATCAGAACCTATTTGCTCTTGTTCATTGTTGTGCATAGAATAACAAGCACCTAATACAGATATTGGAATTCCTCCCAAGCAAGATATCTATCACAATGATGGAGGTGAGTGTGTTTATATCAGAGAAACCATCGCTTTCGTTCAGCTTCCTGTCAATCACCTGACACCTTCAGGAAGCAGCAGAGGTGTCTGTCAGCAAATAATCCCACCGTCCTTTCAAAATGTATTTTCCCTTCCATGTCTTCCCCTTATCTGCTGAACCTTTTGCATAATTTTCCTTCAACGTCAAACTTCTTGAAAAAAGAAGAATCAACAAACTAGTGGTGCTTGAAAGACGTTGAATGTAAATTAAAGTCACCTCGAGCGCTAATGTTGGCAAATTAGCTGAATTTAAAAGGGAATTAAACACAATTTTGTATCTAGTTTGACTTGTTAAAGAATCTCTTACACCTCACATAAAAACACATTTACTTTACAGTCGACATTCCAGGGACATTCAAGTTAAATAAAAGACTATTACACCAGTATTTGGCCTCCTTTTGCTAATTTCTTAGATATTTCTAGCACCGTGAGACAATAGAAGTTATATCAAACTGGAGGTTTTTACAGCTTCCCTGGAATTTGTGTCTAAAACCTGGGATCTGTTGCGACGAGTGAACATTGAGCTATTTGGGCCGCACTCAGCCTGTGAAAGCCCCTCATCCTGCCTGGATGCCAGAAGAAACAGCATCCATCCAGCTCATTCTCAGGCCCATCAAATCATCAGATTATAGTTACTTTGGCCACCAGCATATGGCAGATGAAGCCCCTCAGATCTTACACGCCGTGTTCATCGAATCAAATGTTGACATAGCGCTGATGCTGAGCAGATGTGTCGTATAAGGAGGACATGGTACACAGACCACCTCCTATGCAACCACACACTCGCACAAATGCACTCACTCAGCAGGAGGTCCCTCCCCAAAACTGCAGATTAACCAGAGCAATCAGTGTGAGGGCTCTTCAGCTCCCCAAGCCCCAGTTTCTCCTCGTGATCCTAGAGGTAGTTAAAAATTCAAAGCGATATTAGCTCCCCGAACGGGTCTTCTCACGCAAAGGGCAGGATTGTTGTTCCTGAATTATTACTGAACAGACTGTGGCATGGCGCACTAAACACAGAAATGCATAGAGTCTGAATGGAATAATTCAATCAACAGCAAAAACGGGCAACAGCTATGGAGAATCTAATATAATTTTTCAAGCAAAATTGCAAATTATTGTCTATTTCTATGTCTGTATCAAACGCAATCATAAACTAAATTGGTCAAAGAAGAATTTCTCTCTGACACTTCATGGACCTGACAGCAAATATATTAATTTAAGGGATGATCAATAGTCATTACAATAATGGTAATTGCATGTTTTCGGCTGCAGTTTGAAGAAAGAATAACAAGAGTTATATTAGATATTTGTCATGATTCATTTTGTCAATTGGACATTAACATGTTTACGATTGAATTTGAGAATAGGAGGGAGTTGATGAAAAGGTCTCAGCTGTGTCACTTGACGCTCATTGTCACATAGAAGCTTCACCAGACTATCTGCTGATATTGTCACATTATTTTACCACTGATGCAAAGTAGGTTAAAGTCAAGCAGCGACTGGTTGGTTATACATCTGTGTATATGCTGTTATACATCCGTATCAGGCTTAAAGAGCGGCGGGGAGGGTGACTCTGTGGGATTACTGCCAGCTGGCCTCGGTGTGTACGCGCTCGTGTGCGGTTCTATCCACATGTCTGTCTGTGTCTGTCTGTATAACCCCGTCTGTAATTCAGAGCGTGTCTTCGTCTACAGCTGAGGGATTGGGGGTTTCGGGCTTCACATTAGAGTTTGGATCCAGAGGAAGTTTCCCTCTGCCCTTCCTGTTTCCTCGCATGTGTTCCATTGTGCTGCAGGGTAACAGGGTTATCTTTTTTTAAAGCTCATCCACTTTAAACGACATCACAGTGGGTAAAGTCGCAAGTTTAAAGCCAGTGGATCTGCACAAATCCTCTCACACACACGGGTTGGTGAAAACTAGGACCGCAGCCAGTGTTAAGTGAGCGTGGGATTTTCACTCTGAGCTCCATGAGTACCTCGCTGCTTTTCCTGCACAACCACTGTTAACACTGGAAGTAGGAATGTCCTCAAATCAGCTCTCAAGGCCTGGAAAATAATTTTTTCTCTCTCTTATGATGTGGCTTCTATTGTTCGCTCCCAAAATAAACATAGTACAAGTTATGAAACTCATGCAGACTGGTGATGGTAAGTGCGTGCCAAAGCGTCCCTGCATTAGTTTAAGTGGCGTTAAAGCCTTTGGTTTGAGTGGGTGGTCAGGGACAGTTGTTAGTTTTGGGTGTGAAGAGCGGCAGAGGATTTACTCCTAAAAGTAGATTTTGAGGGATTTCGTTTGTAGGGGTGGGGGGGAATTACTGGAGCTTCTTTTTTCTGTGGTGCACATGTTGGAGTTTAAACCCTTTGGACTCTCTCAACCCTCCACTCAATACAAGGGGTTTCTGAGCTCTCATATTAGAAGTCACAGAGATTCAAATGTATTCCAAGTCCAGTTTTCTGCACATTTAGCTCTCACACAAATGTAGCTGCCCCACTATTGGACGATGCAACCCTCGGTCTTCTGTTTACTACGAAGCAATGACTCACACCATAATTGATTTCTGTAGATTTTCAATCAAGCGTGGCTGTGTTTGGTTTGAACCAATCTTCACATAGTGCCCGACTCCAGCCCCACGGTTCCCTCTGTGCCTGTTAAAGACACTAAACTCATTTCCTGACTCAATCAAAGCAGGTCAGAGGGGGAGTGTGTTAATAATGTAATTGGTGGACCACCTCTGTAGAGGACCCCCATCACTAAACAAGATTATCTAATGGAACAGACACAGACATTAAAGTCCTGTCTCCTTTCAAATATGTAATTTGAAATATACTTTATATTGTAGTAGACCCAGAAACAGAAAAATGGATTAGAGGATAATAGCAATGTTTTGTTGTTAGTGGTGGTGGGCTTTTATTAAAGGTTGCATCCTTTCTGTTTCATTAGATTAGTAATGAATGATTGTAATCATGCACTGCATTGTTGCTTTCAGTGGATGTTTCCATTAGCTAATGCATGGCCTCAGGCAAACAGAAAACACGAAGCTGCTGTGTGCACATTATCTTCCTCTGGGCAAAATATAATGGCGCTCTCTAATGATTATTATGTTCAATATTATATTTTGTAATATGTTTTGATTATTGATCAACTGGCCAGTCTATGAAATGATGAAAAAAAAAAAATGCCTATTACCTATGACCCAAAACAGATGTTAATATTTTCAAATTATTTGTTTGGTCCAATAAACAGTTCAGATATTCAGTCCTTATCCAAAGATAGCTGGAATCATTTTTCTTTTTCTATTACTATTAACATGAATGAGTCTGCAGTCATGCAAGCAGCTCTATATTAAAGTATAGGAGTGATTGTGATGTGGAGCTGTGGTATCGAGGTCCCGCAGACCTGCAAGCTTGACCAATCACTAGTCAGTCTCATCTGTCACTCTCTCTCTCTGTTTTTATTGCATCAAAAAACCAATAACTAAGACCATCCTTAATATTTGGTTTGGTCCATGTCCAACCATTAACATGGAGGAGGCAGGGTTTTATTCTATTCTTCAGCTAGCCACCAGGTGGTGATCAAGATGACTTGGCTTCAGTTTTGGGAGCTGTCATGTCTTCCATCTTTGTATAGTCTATGGTACAGCCAGTAGCTAGTTAGTTTAGCTTATAATGACTGCAAACAATAAATTAACCTGTTGATTAGTGACCTTCAGAGGTGCTGACAAACTAGCTGCTTCCCCATTGTCACTCATTCTAAGCTAAAATTGCGGCTGACTGTAGCCTTTAATATTAAAGGTATGTGTTCTCATCAAACTATTTTTTTAAAATACAAGAATTTCCCAAAATGTCAAACGAATGCATTAAGTTTTGACCCTTAAATCCCAGCAGGTTACGAGGTTAGTGAGTGCTGATATCCTGCAGAACAGATGGACGAACACAAGTTCCCATTTCTATTTTATTCCACTTGTATTTAGGCCAAAAACAGCTGAAAACATTCCTCCAGTAGAAGTTTTGAGGTATTGTAAAACAACATGGAAACATTTTAGGAGCACTAATTGTCTTTAACTCCACATTCACAGCACTATTTAGCCAGAGGTTAGCAGCGCTAATTAACGTCTTTATTTTCATACTTTACACCCCACTCTGTTGTCTATTAAAAACACAGCCAGAATCCCTCTGCTGTTTTCTTCCACCATTTACCTGCCCCTCATCGCAGCGCTCCAGAATTACATAACTAGGTCAGGAAGTGCCTTTTTGTCTCATTGTTAATTTGAAAATGATCTACAACAGCAGTTGGTGCCCCCTGAACGCAACTCTTTATACAAGCTGTTGAATTAAAAGTGGGACGAATGCTTCCTCTTGAGCCCAGTGACCTTCTTTTACTTTAATTGGCGCAGATTCCCGCCTGCGAGGCAACATAACAAGTGATGTTTTTATATCTCTCCTTGCAGAGATACACGCTTTCTGCCTCTAAGCTGGCTTAATGACACGAGATTGAACAGGCTCTCTGTGCGTCAGAAAGATGGAGACGACGGAGAGATAAAGCAAGTGTGTGGGGGGAGAGAGAGAGAGAGAGAAAGAGAATGGAATAAAGATTGAAAAACAAGATTGAGACAGAAAGACGGAGAGAGAAAGATGGTTCGGAGCACCTAGTGGAGAGCGAGTCGTCCTCCCTGCTTGCAGACGCTCGCCAGGATGTGTAAAAACTTCATGGGAATTCAGGGATCTAGGCCATGTTAAAGTACATGTAATTAAAGAAAACTTGTTCTTATTAGCAGAATTCCACACGTGAGCCAGATAGAGGAGGAGAGAAACCCTTTTAATTGGAATAATAAAGATCCCCCAGCTCCTTTCATTCTCCGGTTAATTAACACGCAGGCCCCAGATATGTGTTAATGAAGCAGAACAAGGTGAAAACTGTCTAATACTCCCGTCACTTCATTGTATGTGGGAGGATGAATCTTCAGTCTCTGCTGTGAACTCCTAAAGAACTCGCTTGGACTAGATTGGATTCGGGGCTGACTTCGGTTTTGTCTCCTCTTTTGCAATCCTATTACTTGCACTGTGATCTTTAGCTTTTTCTGTTCCATTTTGTTTTGTCGTGCATGACGCAGAGAGCCCTGACGGAATGAGCGAAGCAAGCTGCGTACAAATGAGACTTAAGGTCTGCTGTGTTTTCTCCATCTTGTGTTACAGTTCCTGAGGATCTGTCCCTGGAGGAAAGGGATGAGCTGTCAAACATCCGACGCCGGAAGAGGGAGCTGCTTGATGATATTGAGGTGTGTGGACATATGAGCATATGGTAGAGGAGATATTAGAGCGCTATCTCAGAAAGGTTCCGACCATTAGTGGTGCAAAACTAGGAAACCTTTGAAAATATGAAGACACATTTATACTTTATTTGAGCTTTACATTTTTCTGCAGCAGGATAGGTCTATTTGCATGCTGAACATAATGCAAATTGACCCACAGATTATCTTTGCACACTCAACTTGCTCCATTAAAAGTGTCACACCTCACACCATGAAGCTGCTCTGACCTTTACCCCGCTTTAACCTAAGAAAGGACTGTTTCACTCTTTTCTGTCAGAGGTTGAAGTTCGAGATCGCAGAGGTCATGACGGAGATCGAGCAGCTGACGTGTGTCGGAGAGAGGTGAGTTCCCGAAGTCAAGGTTTATCGCAAGGATTTTTAAATATTACTTTAGATCCATGATATTTTGTGTGAATTGTATAAATGATTTGTGTCTTTATATGATCGTCTGAAAGCTGTTTCAGAGTCCTCAACTCTTTAGAAGCAATAAATATGTTGGGGGGCAATATAATTAAAATTAAAACCTTTTTTCCATCTTAATTCATCCCAAAGTGATCTACCATATGTTATATAGAATTTTAAAAATGCGACTATAAGAGTCTTTGACCTCTCCAGCCTTAAGTAACACACATTGGTTTTCACTCTCAGTCGTAATAGCATCCAGTAGAATCACGGCTCATAGTCCACTCACTGTTTTCTTAGTTGTCAAAGACGGTTAGATGACCATGGTGCTTTCTGTAGTGAATGACTGCATCCTGGGAAGAAGGTTGAAGAATGCTGGACCTTGCTGGATGTGTGTTTGGATTAAATCAACCTGTGACCCCCGGCTACATCTCAACACATGCAAAGTTTGGTCATGGTCGGTCGTGATGCTATTGTGAAGACAAAATGTGTCCAGAGACAGACAGTCATTTAACCTCAGTGGCACACTCACACAGACTAACACAGACTCAAAAGGTGCAAGTAATTTAACAAACAATGACAGTCAATATACAACGTGTGTCACTGTAAATCAATAAAGTGAGTTCTCCATAGGTCTCCTAAGGTCATTCGACTCATCTGTCACTTTATCACCCATCTGCATTGCAGATATTAAAACTCTACACGCAGCGTTTCTTCAGTTTGTCTGTGTGCACATGTTTTTATCATCTTAGATTCAAGCATGAGCATGCAGGCAGGAAATAATCTCCTCAGTGATTATTATAAATAAAATGTTGTGTTTGACAGTCAGGTACTTCAGTGGTGCTTGGGGTCTGAATGTTATATTATGTTAAAATAAAATAAATAAATGGATTTTCGTTTTTGTGTCGCAGCAAAACATCCCAGAGAAACAAACAGATCGCCATGGGTCGGAAGAAATTCAACATGGACCCAAAGAAAGTACGTTTTTTTCCCTAAATTTTACATCCCTGTACCAGCCTCATATTTTCACTATAAATCATCACAGCCTTCAGTGTCTCTGTAGCCTTAGAATTAATGACTCTTTTGTCCTCTTCCTCTCCAGGGAATCCAGTTCCTGCTGGAGAACGACCTTCTGCAGCACACTCCCGAAGACATCGCCCAGTTCCTCTACAAAGGCGAGGGCCTCAACAAGACTGTGATCGGAGACTACTTAGGGGAACGGTAAGACAGAGCATCAGTCAGGCTGAGGCAGGAAGCCCTGCTCTCTTCTGATTTACACCCCCCTCTGTGATTAGAGAGAGGAATTATGGGCTGGATTAATTGATTAAAAAAGGAGAACATAATTGCACCCTCCCACCCCTCAACATGAATCTTTGAGGACGTGCGTGTGTCTTGTCGTAGTTTATCCACGTGAACTTCTAACTGGTAATAAAAGGGTCAAGCTGTCCCTCAGACTGAATCAATCAATGAGCCCACGATAAGAGTCGAGTAACTTCTGCTGCAACAACTCTCGGATTTTAAATTCGACTTATCTTGATATTCAACGTTTCTGGACTGGAAGCTTTCTGGTCTCATTTCTAGTTTGACCAATCACATTTGAGCAGGTTTTGGGAGCATGTGGAGAGCAAACGAGGTGGAACATATTGACTGAAATACATCGTCTTTTTAATTTTTAGCCGGCTCAGTAATTTACACTCAGTAATTATCACTTATTAAGATTACACAGAGAGGGGAAGCGGGTGGTGGGGGTCATGGAGGTGCAAGGCTACTAATGGAAGGGAGGCTCAGACAGTGGAAGTGACTTAAAGGAAGATAGATGTATGGATGGAGGAGAGAGAGAGATGGATAGATAGAAAGCTATATGGTTGCGTCCCTTTTTATTGTTTCTTTGTAACACCCTTGTTATATATATTTTTTATTTCACATTTACAAACGGCAGGCCAATTGCAATAACCTTGTTTAATCCTCATAGGAAATAATTTGTTTCATTAGGCTGCAGACAATAGTTCAGTCATAAACACTCAGAGGAGAAAGAAAAAAGTCAAATAACCCGAGAATGTTATTGCAAGTTTGTTGTTTGTCCCTTTGTAAGCCAGCACTCTCTGTACTCTTCTCAACGTTTCCACAGAAAACATAAAACCCTAAGCCTGAGAAGTCCTGCTTTAGTTTGAACTATACCCAATACAAAGAAGATACAAGATCATGGACCTTGACGTAACACAAACATAATCAGAGAAGCACTTACCGCAGCCTGAGAGCGGCTGTTGATTTTTCCGCATAAACCCCTCTGATACCTAAACAAACCTCGGAGGAAAACAGAACCGCTGTAGTTTTTGTTTTAAGTTGTTTTTCCATCAGTCACACACAGTTTCCTTCACATCGGTGTGGAGAAACATTCAGCACAGGCCAGCTGTTTAAATTGCTTCCAGACCCGCTCAGCATAAGGTATGAATAAGGCCAGAAACACGACAGGAATGCTGGAGAAAAAGGAATTCACGTTGAGAAATGCTTTCATGGGGGAAATATGTTTTTCTTCTGGGTTCACGTTGTGTTCGGGGATATCCTGAATAGTTTTCTTTTTTTTTTTTTTAAATAGCCTTTTAATAGCCCAACAGAAATGGATTGTTTTCTCATTTTCCCTTTTCTCCACCAGAGATGACTTCAACATCAAGGTGCTGCAGGCCTTTGTGGAGCTGCACGAGTTTGCAGACCTCAACCTCGTCCAAGCTCTACGGTCAGCGGAGTGACTAACCCAAATACAACATTAACAGTAGTGGCATCATGTGCACCCTGACACCTTCCCTTTCTTCTCCTTGCTTTTTGTAGGCAGTTTCTTTGGAGTTTCCGTTTGCCAGGCGAAGCCCAGAAGATCGACCGAATGATGGAGGCGTTTGCCTCACGATACTGTCAGTGCAACCCCGGGGTCTTCCAGTCAACAGGTCAGACTACTAGCTATTGTTAATGCTTCATGAAATCTTTTTTAGCAGCCTGTCAGACGCCTGTCAGACATGAACTCCTACATTGATTTGGAACTGGATGTTTTATCATTTATATACAAATCAATAGTTTTTTCTCAATAGAACAGTCAATGATAACGTCTCCCTTACTTTCAGCTTTTTAATCGATTTATGCATTTTTCCATTATTCATCCATTATTTAGCTACTTCTACCATGTTTGTATGACTTTTAACTAACATTTAGATAACATTTCAATTATCCAAAATCACTAGTGATTCCTCTGCTTTGTACTGCTCCCGGAACATTTGATGAGAATTATCCATATGTACCATAATGCATTGCGCTCACACTGAATTAAAGAAAAATGTGAGGAGTGAACCAGAGCTTTTTGCACATTGTGCAACTGTAAGTGCATTTCTGTTGAAATTTCAACTCTCACATTTTGACTGAAAACTTAAAAAGCAGTAAGAAAAAGTTTAAAATAAGAACAGACATTCAGGTAGAATTAAAAATTGTCATTATGCCAGATTAAATATGAGAGTAGTGAAAGTTTTGGTACATATTCCTGGTTGGTAGAGGTGTCCAGGCTGTCGTCTATATTTATATGAGCGATGTGTGTCAGTGCTCTGAACAACACTCCAGCCTAATATACCAGCAGAGATACGGCCTGAGAGTCTATAATAGGATCCACTGAGTGATGGCCTGTTTTTAATGTGTTTCAATCATTAAACCATAAGAGTTACTGTAACTAAGGTTCAATGAGGATTAACCAGATTACAATTTCCAGTTCACTGCATGAGTCCAGAGTAAACAACCACCAACAAACAAGGGACATCCATAATTCAGGAGGACTCAACCTGGCTAAGTGATCTGCGTCTCGTGTTAAACAAAGCCTGCAACTACAACAGACAGTGAATAATTCAAGAGGTTCAGAGCAAACTATTGTGCGCACAGCTTTGAGGGTTTGTGTGTGTGTGTTTCTGTGGAGGCTCCACGGAACCTGCTTAAGAAAGAGGTTGAGTAAATTCAGATGCTATGAAATAACTTGACGGTATATGGTGGTAAAGTTACACACAAGGCGGTTATTTTTACTTATTATAGAATTATGATATTTAATATATCCAGCATGAAAGCCTCACTGTTTCTCACATAGTCCACGTTTCTTCCAGCTACAGTAGATCCAAGTTAGACTTTATGAATGTGTGTGCCTCCTTTCCTCAGTGATCCCATAATGCATCATGCACAATCTGCACATAAGCAGGCATGTGTGTGACACAGTTGCTGTGGGTGCATTGCAGAGCATCGAAACAGAACCATGTGTGTGGCAGTAACCGCACACTGAGCCCATAAAAAACATAAAATAATCGCGGATCTTTAATTACAAAGGTCATGAAAGCTCAGTTTCCGCTCCGCACTTCATCATGATCATTAAATTTTGAATACACTGACATTCCTCTAGCAGATACCACCACCTCATGGCCCGTAGAACACTCTTTCTTTTTTAATAAAGAGTCTGTGTAAGCCGGCAGACAATAAGCAGCGCAGGACAGCCAGGACCAAAGTGTGTCAGTGTGAGGAGACAGACAGAGTGGAATGAATGATTCATTTACAGGCAGTCACTGGCCCGTGTGAGTCTGAACATTAACACACAGTAGAGAGACTGCAGCCCTGCACCCCCACCCCTCACACACACACACACACACACAACATATATATATATATATATATAATGTTCACCAAAGAAATGCAAAATAAAAACTTCATGCAAAATAGACTGGAGTTATCTTATCTTATATTTTCATGTGTTAAATAAATCACGAAAGAATACAGTAACTAACTTTTCAGTAGAGTGCATACCCCTTATGAATGGGTATTTGATTTCACTGGATCAGGATTTTTATTTACATCTGAACCAAAGTGCACGTACCCATAAATACAAACATGCAGGATTTTTCTATCATCAGGATCCAAGAATTCAATTCTGAAAAAGGCTGTATCCTGGATCCGCACCAAAATTGAATGGGTTGCTCTTTGGATCACACCCCTACCCTCATAATTTCATGGAAACCGGTTGAATAATTTTTGCATAATCCTGCTAACAAACAAAAAAACACAGACGAAAACATAACCTCCTTCGTAGTTATGTATGTCACGGTGAATTTGTCCTATTTTTATATTGGTGTCTATTTCCCCCTTTTTCATTGTTACTGTTAATACCAATATTCAGTATCATGTGTAACAATGTGACCACAGGTTAGGTCGACAAACACGTGTAACAAAGACACAGATTTATTGAGATACAAGTGTAAGTGGGGTCTCAGAACCCATTTATTTCTCCTCCTGTCGCTCTCAGATACCTGCTACGTCTTGTCGTTTGCGATCATCATGCTGAACACCAGCCTACATAACCCCAACGTCAGAGACAAGCCCCCTGTGGAGCGCTTTATCTCCATGAACAGAGGCATTAATGAAGGAGGAGATCTGCCAGAAGAGCTTCTCAGGGTGAGGATTTGCCTGTAATGAGTGTGTGTGTGTGTGTGTGGTGGGGGGAGACTGATCTCCGTGACCGCTCTGTTATACCAACTCTACACGAATGAGGCTTTTCCTTCACTGTACCCCCATTTGATTAATGTTTTCCCTCCCCTATCTGCAGAACCTTTACGACAGCATCAAAAACGAGCCCTTCAAAATCCCAGAGGATGATGGGAACGATCTGACGCACACATTCTTCAACCCCGACAGAGAAGGCTGGCTCTTAAAGCTCGGTACGTTCACACACAACTGTCAAAGCAATTGTTGATTAAAGTCAGGATAGCCATGATTCATTCTTTGTGTCTTTGTGTATGTGACTTGTTAATGATGAGCTTGAAGGTGGCCATGTTTGAGGTGGTTTGGGCAACAACAAATTGCTTTGACCCAGTATCCTACATTATTACTAACAGGAAATGATGCAACGTATATGCTGACAGAAATCATGAGCTGATGCTAACTTCACCCATTTAATATTTAGCATTTAAACAAACTTTTGTTACATCAGAGTTAATAATAGCATAATCCATCCATCTATTGTCTTCCACTTATCTGGGCTCCAAGCTAGCCAGCAAAGTAGGGTACTGCAGACATCCCTCTCCCTAGCCACTTCTTCTTGGGCAATCCCAAGGTGTTACCTGGTCTCATGGGATATTTAGTTATAATGAGGGTTCTATGTCTACCTCCTGTTGGGCGTGCCTGGTAAACCTCCAACGGAAGGCTCCTGACTAGATGCCCGAACCACCTTAGCTCTCCCTTTTCAACGAATGGTCTGAATTCCTCACCCTATCTCTAAGGCTGAGCCCAGCCATCTGATAATAGCATTAGTTTTGAACCAAAAATAATAATTTCAATGAGTTGCATTTCAATAGAACCACTGAAATCTTTCCATCCATCTCCGTTCAAGCGTTGTTGTCTCTCTCTCTCTCTCTCTCTCATGGTGATTTTTTGTGCTTGCTGTCTTATTCTGTTGGGTTTTTTGTACCTCACTCCCTTTCTAACCTTTCGCCCTTTCAACCCTGTGTTTTGTTCTTTCGCTCTGTTCTGTTGCGGCTGTCCCTTCTTAAATCTCTGTATCAGGAGGTAGGTACACTCCTTCCTCCTCTGTCCTCCTGGTTCATCTCAAACTGGCATTGGCTGCCATTAACCCTGTAGCACACCAGGCTCATCTAAGTTGAATCAGAGCTATTACTGGTTAAATAAGTTACTGCAATATGAAGTGATGGGTTATTTTATTCAAAAGTGAGGTGAGTTGAAGGTCAGTGATCTCTCTCATTCTGCATGAGGACCGGCTGCATTCCTCTTTTGGCTCCGGAGGAGGCTGGATGACGCTCAGGGCTCGTCTCAGTTGGTATACACCCAAAACGCCATATTTATCACGAGAAGAAGCCTTGGCATAAAAGATAATGATGCAACTCATCAAAACTCTCTGCCATTTGCTTTGTACTGAACTTTTTTATCTGAAGTGCACATTGTGAAATAGTCTTTGGAGAGCTCCTTCATGGTTCATCTACTTTACAGGTGCTTTTAAGATCACTTCCATATTGGTCAAGATTGAACTTAGGCTTCTTTAACGTAATAGTGTGGGAATACTTTATTTGCTTTTTCACTGACCTGCCTTTAGCAGCCAGTTAACTTTGCACAAAGACTGGAAACCATAGACAACAGATAAAGATGTCTCTCTGCCACCTGCTATCAGGAAATTAAGCCAATATTTCCACAACGCCCTCATCTTGGGCATTTGGAGCCAGATAAATCTACCATTAGTGCCTGTAAATTTTACAAATTAATACTTTGCTACTTACCCATTGAATTCTTTTTGCTATGCTACGCTAACCCACAATGTTACATTCATAAATTGTGCACAGACATAAGAATGGTACTGAATTTACCTTTTCAGTTAATTCTCGAAAAGAAAAAAAAACAAACATATTTCCTTATATGCTGTACTTTATACCATCTACATGACAACCCTTAAAGCATTAAGTAGTTTTCTACATGTAGTGGTATTGCTCTGACGAAATTGACTTTACCTTCCTTGTAGATTCCCTGAAAGTTCCCATTGGTCAGCTGAACAGGCCAGGTCATGCATCGTACCATTAGAGACCGCCCTGTGCGACATACAGCTCCTGAGCAGCTATTTGCCAGAACATGCAGTCATGCTCGAGCTTTGGTGAATGGTCTGCTTGAATCTGCGCTGTGGGAATGCGTACAAACCGCTGCGTTACCGGTCATGCAGTGAAATAAAAGAGACCATGGCCCCTTTTCCATTTCTGCCCCTCTGTCCCTGACTTACAAGCCTCCATACCTCCCACTGCTGCTTCACTAAGCCCTTCTCTCTTTCTATTTTGCTCTTGGTTCCACTAGCTGCACTTTCCAGATCCTTCTAGATTCAGTTTTTTCCCATTAGTGTTAATTTTAGCTCCGTACAGCTGCACTGCTGAAGCTCACATAACACCTTCACCAAGATTGAGCCTGCCGCTATGCCTGAATCCATCATCATCCAGCATGATAATAAAATTCAATAACTTAGATGCTCCTAGAATGTATCTCAGAGAGTCTACTAAATGTGGAGGGGGGTCACAAAGACATAGAACATTCTGGTGAGCCATGCTTGTTCTCTGAGACAAAGTAAAGCAACAAAGACAGATAAAGATCTCAAATCAAAGCAAATTCCTCAAATGTACCATCTAAACAACATTTATATATTAGACACACGGCCAGTCAGTGTAAAATATTGTGGCTGTTATGCCTTGCAGGCCTTGAGATCACAGCCCAGCCAAGGAGCAACTTGAATTATTCCCTGGGAAATCTGCAAAAAATGATTAACAAGTTCCTGAATCCCCCCCTTTGTCCAGATCTGCACCTAAACTTGGGGTCTTTGTTGGCCCATGTCCCATCCTTCCACCAATTTTCAAGCAAATCCGTTCTGTAGTTTTTGTGTAATCCTGCTGAACCACAAAAAAAACAACCAACCAATAGAAATCCAAATTAAATATCAGGATTAAAATTAAAATTTGGCTAAAGGGAATTAAGAGCTCTCCAGGCGGCATTATGACTGACTGTAGTATAATAAGACCTTCATACCGTACTTACCAAACAAGAGGAAACAAACGTGCTTACTTCAGTTCAGCGGTTGAAAATGCTGTGGCTGCATCTTAAGGTAAACATCTCTCATAAATAATATACTGTAAATGCTGGATTTGACCCTCGGTAGAAGTATAGAATGAAAATCTGGGTCAGGTGAACATTACATATTGATTACATCAGTAACGGCTGCTTTCTGCGCCTTCTGTAAAGTCAGCAAACGTGTTATTATGCTGCACATGCCGCTGACTGTACATTGACATCAGCCACATTAAGTTGTTTTGATTACATAGGTTAATTGCATCACCGATGGTGTAATAAAGAGAAAATCCACTAATCCTAATAATCCACTTGTGTCTGATGAGTGAGGCAGATGGAGAGTTTTTGTGTCTTGTAATGAAAATCTCTTCAGACGACATTCAGATATTTAACTGTAGAATAATCTGTTCAGACAGTGAGTGATTCGAACTCCCTGCGTAAGAGCTTTTCTTCATTACATTTTACAACCTTCGCTTTTCTATTTTTAAAAGCATCAGTAGACACGTTCTTAAATCAGGCTCATAAAATCTGTCACAATCACTGGACACCTCAGTTGCATAAACTCCTGCTTCAGTTGTGGCGTGCACATGGCCTGTCTCCTGGAAGGTAACACAGGGTTCAACCCCCCCAAACACAACCCCCCCCCCTGCCCCAACCCTCCCTCCTTCAGCTGGAACTCTGGGGACGGGGGGGAAGTTAGCGGGGGGGAGTATCCAACCTCTGCCTGAGCCTAATAAAGCAGACAGATGATGATCAGAACCAGATGTGGCGCGTGGTCTCCTGCAGGTTGGCCCGTACGTGCACAAACACTGACACCTCTTCAGTTTAAAATGAAATGTGTTGTGTTTCTGTCCGCAGGCGGCCGTGTGAAGACGTGGAAGAGGAGGTGGTTCATTCTGACTGACAACTGCCTCTACTACTTTGAATACACAACGGTGAGTATGCCGATCTGTGTTTATGCGTGTCGGAACCATAGATTGTCAAGTATTTAATAATAAAATTATTATATTTTTCTTACCTTGGTCTTCTAGAGTTCGATGAGGAGATTGATAACACTCCCATGAGTGTATGCTCAATATGAAGCTGCAGCCAAATATTAAGCTCAGCTTAACACCAAGGCTAGAAACAGAAGGAAACAGCAAGCTTAGTGGTATTCAAAACTTTCATTTCTCATCAGTGAATCTAAACTTCTTGATATAAATGTAAAATCTTGTTTTGCAAATTTCCCCCCTGAGGGACTGATAAAGGATTATCTTATCTTTAGCTTTTTTCAAATTGTTGACGTTTTCCTTTCGGAATCTCAATAAATATAATTTCACATTTTAAAATATTTACAATAGTGATACTGTGCAAAAGGACATAAAGGAGACATAAAAAATAAATCCTACAGCTGTAATTATTGTCTCTCTCTCTCTCTCTCTCACACACACACACACACACACACACACACACACACACACACACACACACAGAGTGACAGATAAAGGTCTTTGCCTTTCAGCTCTGCTCTTTAACAGATGTTGCCCCTTTGACTTAAATAAACCTCCCTTCAGCAATTAACATGAGGCATCATGGGAAACATCTGCAGTGTCTACGGCACACATCTGGCCCCCCTGCTACGCTGCAAACCAAGTGCCTCCCCCAACCCGCTGTGAGGATCACCCCCACGTTTTCGCCCCAGGAACCCAGCATCTCTAATGCTGAGAAGAAACAACCTCCCCCAACACACACACGCCAATCCCTCAGCACACACACACAGGCTGCGGAGGTGCACACACTCAAAAGGCACGCACACGGCCAGCTGTGAGGGGTTGTCTGCAAGCATTTCCTCCCCCTGCTGTGCCCCCTCATTAGTAGGAGGATGACAAGCGGGACACAGGGCTGTTCCTCAAGGTCTCTCTCCCAAACACACACACACACACACACACTTCACATCTGGCCCCACAAGCACAATAGCAATCGCTGGAGGATGGCGAGTGTAGGGTTACGTCTCCCTCGGGTGCTGTCCCTTACATGACCAGGATGAATAAAAACCTCCAATGTGCTTTAATCACCACCTTGACTTTTTAAACGTTGATGCTGTCAGGCTTCATATGAGTTAAAGATAATAGTTAAAGCACTTAAAAAATTAAAGGTGCCACATACAGCGTGAAAAAAGTTTATCTTGGCTAGTCTGTGAGCKCATGTGTGGCTGATGAAATTGCCTTGAACAGTCGTGCTCCACCAGCCACATGGAGAAAAGAGTGTGTGGTAGGAGGATCTTTCATAATGACACAATTACCCTTTTCCAGCTGTAATTAAAGTGGGTTTTGGGTGATCGGATTGCAGTCGGATAGAGCTTGACCACATGAATGTGCAGGTGTGCAGTCAATGAAACCTCCCTAGTCAGGGACACATTGCGAACACTCTAAACAAAAGCACAAATGAAATTTTGTCAATCCATATATACCAACTAGGTGGGCAGAAATAATAATAACACGTAAATAATAGTTACAGTGAGCAGCCACTAGCCAGAAAACACAAGAAGCAGTCCTCTCCTCGGTCCTCAGCTTGAAGACACTCGAGATGGAGAAAAGATGAGACCAAGTGTCTGCTTTCAAGTTGGTTTGATAAAAGAAGACACGAAGAGGACGTGACATGAGCTGGACAGAGCGATCAGATCTCAGATCTAATCTGTCCTTGTCCTGGTCTTCATGTTAGATGGTGGATTAAGAGACATGTATGCACTGAGCGAGTGATGTGTTGACGCCACGTTCTGTCTTTGTATGTGTCTCCAGGATAAAGAGCCTCGTGGGATTATTCCTCTGGAGAACCTCAGCATCAGAGAGGTGGACGAGCCAAGGAAGCCTGTAAGGAGCAGCTCCTGTCACTGTGTACTCCATTTAAAACTATTGTCATGAGTGTATCCCTCCGCTGAGGCCAAACAGTCCCCTAATGAAACCACATTTAAATTCACTAGATCTGGATTTTCATTTTCATCTGCACCAAGTTGCGCACAATCATAAATATCAGCCTTTTAAACACGTCTTTGATTTTTTTAAAAATCACAATCCACAAATTATTCTCTGACAAATCAATGAAAATGCTGGAAAAAGTAAAACTAAATTCCCGGAACTTTCATGGTAATCTGTCC